CGATGCGTCGCCGAACCCATGTCCATCGTGGCAAATATTTCCCCCCGAGATCCGTTTGGGCAGCTGATGGACTGGGTGATATCGGCCTTGTAGTAGGTAGTCTCCTCTGTCCAGTTGTTGATGTCGATGATGTAGTCAGCCGTGGGGACTTGGAAGCAAGTGACGGGATGAAGTTTCGCGGCTGGGACTGTGACTGTAATCGTCGTGTTCTCCGGAGCAGCAACGCCCTCGACGCCTCCAAGAACGGGGAACACGAGGTCGTCGTACGTGTTTCTGGGGTACGCCAGAGCGGCTTCGCCTTGACGAGAGACAAGGCTGCTGATGAGCTGTCGGTTAGCCCGGGAGACGGATAAGTCGTCCAGTCCCCCTGCGATAGCTGTCGAACCGAACCAGGTTTCCTGTCGGAGCTGGATGGTCTTGGAGTCGGGGATATGCTCGACCGTGAAAATGACGGACACAAGTGTTGTCAGGAAGGCGCAAATGATGGACAAGAGCTGTGATAGTGTGACTGCCCATGTCCGTTGTCTGACTGAGTGATAGAGAGACCGAAAGCCAAGCATATCCAACAGCGACAGGTCCAGTTCCCTTGCGCTGCACGGGCGTGAGGAGAGGCAAGAGAGGGTCGCCAACTCTTTGTGAACGAACGCGCAACAGCTGGCATACACCGCGATTCCGAGCATGACGAGTGCCGGGAACGAAGTCCACAGCAAATGGAGATAGCCTTCGTCGCTCACTGTCGCGAGGCCGCCGGAGGCTTCCGAAACCTTAAGCGCATACGAGAGCCCGACAATTACGGCGATCGTAAGAATGGCGAACATACCCCTTGCCCAGCCCCTCAAGACCAAAGGTGTGAAGCCGGAACGGCTCCAATCCGTCGAGCCGTTCTCGGTGGAAATCGTGCTGTAAGCGGCGCGGCTCAAGACGTCCGGATGCTCCTTGAAATAGATCATGTTGCCCAGGATGCTCGCCGGATCCCTGTGCCAAATGGCGGTTCGGGCGGTGTACCGTAGCAGTATGAAAGTGACCATGACTCCAAGAAGAGCAAAAAGAGCCGCCATCGACAAACAGACCCATTGGTTGACGACCAGCCTGTCAATGGTTTTGATCGTAGAGCCCGTGGTCACCGGTTGGGACTCATTGTCTGCCCGGAGACGATAATGCCCCAGCAAAGGGCCCAAGGCCTGAGATGTAGCCATGACGGCATGTTCTAGTATCTCGTTGGTGTACAGCTTGGGATCCGAGACGTTCAGCCCGGTTCCTAGCGACTCGCCCCGGAACCGTGCCAGGGAAGCGACCGGCCCTGCAACACTGCCAGTGGCCGAAGAGCCCCAGAGGCCACCAGCTTCGGGCATTGCCCAGTTGAGCATCGTCCAGAGATCAGAGTTGACCGGCGTCTTGACTTGGTCGTTCAGGACTGTGGCAATCGGATTGACGCCGTCATCGACCACTTCAACCTTTGAAACCCAGTCGGTCGATGTGCAGAGAACGGCCGCGACGTCGAGAAAAGCCGGCCGCGAGGAGTTCTTGGCGGAAGGGCCGAACCTGGCAGCGTAGTACAGTGACTGGTTGTTTTGCCGAGGCAGGTTGGGGCAGGGCATCCCGACGGTCATGTTGACTACCCAGTTGCCGGCGGTTTCTCCGCGCTCCGTCTTGTTCTTGTTCCACATGATCCGGTTGCTTACGACTGGCACGCGCGCATCGCAACCAGGAAACGTGAGGTCGACGTCGAAGGTGTAGTAGTTGAGGTTGGTGACGGTCGGCTCGGATGCAGTGTAGCTCTCCATCTTCAAGCATTCCATCTTGGAGAAGTAGCCGTCGACGACAACCGTTAGCGGCGCGCCGGTGGAACCTCGAGCGGTGCCGTTGCCGAACTTGAAGGTCTGATACGACAAATCCTTGGTGACGCCGAAGGGGAAACGCATGTCGAAGTTGTCCAGGGCTCTTGCCATATAATACGCACTGCCGTCTGTGTACTGTTGTGGCGGGGCAGTCGTGTTGAACGAGTCTAGGAGCTGGACTCGAACTTCTTCCGTGATTCTGAAGGTGGCCAAACTGTAGAGAGACGGCGCAAGAACGATCTGGATCTTCAGGATCAGGGTTGCGACGGCAGCCAGGAAGACGAAGTAATGCCCCCTTTTCAACGACTGGAAAAGGACCACGGGCGACATCATGGCAGTGTAGTCGAGATCGTATACGTCTACATCCTTCCCGAGTTCACGTGCACGACGTTCAGCAATCCATGGCATGTATCGGGTAGCTTGGAACTCGACCCTGGCCCACAAAGACAACATCACAGTCAGGACTGGGACACACATCCGCTGTTAGAGGCGTTCTTTTCTTTACCCCGCGTGGGGGAACCGTAGACTTACTTGCTGTTGGGCCAAAGCGCCACAGGTAGACAAGGCTCGCTCGAGTCTGGAAGAGTCCGTTATGGTTCTGAGAGTACCAAAGCATCACGGGAAGAACGACAGCGAGTAAAACGAATAGAGCGAGGAAGGTCAACAGGACGATGGGTCGGAGCCAAGTCGGACGCCACCTCGGGATTTCTGACCGAATACCGCCGCTCTTCTCGGTGCGGAGACCAGAGTCGCTCAAGAGTCTGCGGTGGCTGTCCGGGGTCGGGCGAACGTCCATCGGGATTTCGGCAGGGTCCGCAAAGTTTTCCTCGTCTGGTTCGTAACGAGGGCTTGGTGTTTGGCCGTACGGTCCGGTGAAGTAGCCGTCTGTTTCGGTCGCCAAGCCTTGCGGGCCCGTATTGTGCGGCGCCATTTTGGTGATGGTGGTTGGGGCCTGTTCTGGTTCCCTCAAGGCTTCTTATCCACACCAGTCGCTTCAGGGCTTCGTTCGAACGATAACGCCAGGAACCTCAGGTCGCAAGTTTCAGCATCGTCAGTTATTTGGTTGGAAGTTGCTAAAGCAATATGATATGTGTTCGAGAAAAATCGTGCGAATATCTTGGGTGAATGAGCTCTATAAAGCGGGTGGAGGATGCATGGTCTTGAAATGCGTGTCTGCAGGGTTTCCGTTTGGCTACAGCCGGGGAACGACTTTCACCCTCCATTAGGTGTAAAAAATCAATCAATTCACTGGCCAGTGAATACGAATTATTGAACCGAGGCGGGTTTCAGAGCCCCCGGGAGTCGTGCATTAGCCCCAGGCAACGCTTCAGCTGGCGCTCTTGGCCATGCATGTCAGACGGGAGGACAGCGGCAAGACTACCAGAATAGGCCATGGCTCAACGGCTAGCTACCAGCAGGCTACAAGCAGGGTGCCAGGCAACAGTGTAGAAGCTGGTGCTCGTGACTCAAACCCATGTAGCTCAGCGCAAGACGCTGGCGACCAGTCTCCACGCACGAGGAATCCGAATGGGGCAGTGCGTATTATACGTAAGAGCAGACATTCGGCAGCATCTTCTGGTCCCTTTCATAGCGCTCCGGAGAGACACCGGATGACACTGCGGTGTTCGGGACAGCGGGCGTGGGGCCGCCAGCGCCGACTTCGGGCGGATTCCGTCCGACCCTGGAGAAAAACTTCGGAGGCACGTGCCTCCCAGAGACATTGCAGTCTGTCTCACTCAACAACTCGATCAACTCGATCCATCTCTCTCACTCTCACTCCACCCTCGTCACGGAATAACTCACCTCAGTCTATACCTACAAAACTCATTTCCCAGAATTGCAGCTCTCTCAGGAGTAGCTCGCGGAACTTACCTCTCCCCTCTCCCCTGCAAACAAGAAAGAAAGAAAGAAAGAAAGGGAAAATGTCCTCCACCCCTTCCCAGCCCCCGCCGCCCGCCGCCGCCACCGCCGCGGCGTCGGACCCCGTCACCTTTGCCCACATCGAGAAGTACATCGCGACGCGCTGCAACGCCTCCCCCATCTACGCTTTCCTCTTCGGCCCCGGCCTGCGGCTCACTCACGCGTCCAAGGGTCTCGTCGTCGCGCGCCTGCCCGTCGCGGCGGAGCACCTCAACACGGCCGGCAGCATCCACGGCAGCGTCTCGGCGACCGTCGTCGACTGGGCCGGCGGGCTCGCCATCGCGTCCTGGGACCTGCGCGAGGCGACGGGCGTCAGCGTTGACATCAACGTCAGCTACCTGTCCGGCGCCAGGCTGGGCGACGAGGTCGAGATCGAGGGCAGGGTCGAGAAGGTCGGCGGCAGCCTGGCCTTCACCCACGTCAACATCTACAAGGTCGCCGCCGACGGCACGCGGGGCGCCACCGTGGCGAGCGGGAGGCACACCAAGTTTGTGAGGAGCCGGTAGATGAGTAACGCGATTTGAGGCTCGGAAGAGGGGGGGTGGTTTATAGACTGTGTGATTGCTTTCCGGCTGGACAGGGCGGCACTTAGAAAAAAGATTTGTAACAGCGTTTCGTGATAATGATTACAACATTCCTAGGTTTGACGACGCCATGCTCAACGAATATGTTTCCTAGCTACCGGCCTCCTCAAGCCTTCTTGAACGGCGAAAGCAAGGTAAACATCGGAGGAGGAGGGTCTCTCGCTCGATTTGAGCAAGTTCATCAGCCTAGCATTGCAAAGTTCGACAAAAGATGAAAGTAACCTGGACTCATTACTGTAACGGATATAAAAAAAAACAAATCTAACCGGCCGTCTATCCGATAGGGTATCACAGCGCGCACGACGACAATGAAATAGCAACTCTCCCTCGGCCCGCGCGGGGTAGTAGGGAAACGATGGCGGATAGAACGGAAGGGGGTCCCCTACTCCGCCTTGGCTCTCCTCCTCGCCCTCCTCGCCCTCCTCTTCTGCTTCTTCCTGTCGGCGCTGATCTTCCGCTTCTGCCAGAAGGACACGCACCATGCCCAGATCCACGAGCGCATCATGATCAGGATGGTGCAGAAGACGACTGGGCAGGCAATGATCCAGCTGTTTTCCGGTGAAGCTTAGTTAGCAAAACAGACCCCAAGGCCAGAGGCTCCGTGTTGGTCGTCAAAGGAGAAAGGGGGGGGGGCTGGAGGTGTCTAGGAATTAGAGACTCACAAAAACTGGATACCCATGGGGTTGTCAATGTCGGGGAATTTGGTAAAATTCTGGCCAAAGTAGCCGGTCAAGAAGGTCAGGGGCAGAAAGATGATGGTGATGATGGTCAGCTGCTTCATGCTCTCGTTCTGGTTGGCAGAGATGGTGTTGAAGATGAGGTCGATGAGGTTGTCGGCGGAGCGCTTGATCTGCTGCATGCTCTCGGTGATGATGACGCAATGGTCGAGGACGTCGCCGAGGTAGGTGTGGGTGAGGGGGGTGACGATGACGCCGCTGGCCGGGTTCCGCAGCTGGCGGGCGGCCTCGTCCTGGGTCAGCTCGGTGCGGTGGTCGCGAAGGACGTTGACGAGGTTGTCGATAGGGTTGAGGAAGGTGAGCATCTTGTTGATCTCGCTGACGCAGATGTACAGGCTGCGGGTCTGCTTGATGCTCGGGGAGGTGAGGACGTCGAGCTCGAGGTCGCCGATGACGTCGCTGTAGACGGCCGTCAGCGGGATGGCGAGGTCGATGATGGCGTCGATGATGGCCTGTACGACGAGCGAGGCGTCGCACGACTGCCGCAGGATGGTGGAGGGGTCGCCCAGGCGGACGGTGATGGGGCGCTCAATGTCCTCGGCGGACATCTCGAAGAAGGAGATGACGGTGTTGTCCGAGGTGAGAAAGATGGCGACCTGCTCGGCCGAGACGGCCAGACCGCGGGAGATGAGGGACGAATGTGTCTCCATGTACTCGGTGCGGACCTCATTGGCCGAGGCGTGGTAGCGCTGGAGGGTGCGGGCGAAGGCCGTCTCGGGCAGCTGGGATAAGTTGCTGGTATGGTGGTTCAGCCGGTGCCCGTAGCCGGTGCCCTGGGGCGTAACGGTGGGCCTGACGACGGGCGGTCTGCCGGTCTCGGGGTCCGCCCGCGGCCGTGGCGTGCCGCCCAATGTCAAGGCGCGCTTCAGCTTCTTCATGCCCTTGGTGGATTTGCTGGTCTTGACACTGTAATCGTCGTCCGAATCATCGTCGCTACTGCTACTGCTGCTGCTGCTGTCGTCGTCGAGGAGGAGCACGAGCTTCTGCAGGGTCAGGACGATGAAGGCATGGTTGGCGTACCAGTCGGCCTTTGTGCGATTCCTCGTGTTCATCACGTCCTCGATGGAGAGCTTATGCAGCTTGTAGTACTGCCCGCAGGCCTGGATGACGTCCCAGCTGAGGCCATTGATATTGATCCAGCGGCTCTGGACCCAGGGCTCCTGGGGCTTCCGCAAGAAGTCGACGAAGCCCTCGTTGCCGAACTTGTGCTGCACCATCCTCTGTTGGCTGAAGTCGAAGACAGATATGTCGCAGTCGGCGCGGAGGGCGGGCATAGAGGCGTGGCCTCCGTCCGACTTGTTAGGGTCGAAACCGGGCTCGGAACCGGGCTGCCAGCCGGGGCGGGACACCTCAAAGTCGCCATAGTCCTCGACTGGCTTGAAGGTGCCGGCTCGGCGACGCATCGGAGAGATGGTCTGGTCGGTGGAGGCACGCGTCAGGGGGGCACCGATTGTGTCGCGAGGCATGGCGAAGGGGAGGGTCCCCGTGGGCGAGGTCGGGGAGATGGCATGGTCTTGTGCGTCGATCTGGAGCGAGGGGAACCGGACAGTGCGCGAGCGGTCTTCGGGTTCGTCAACGGTCTTGGGCATTGTTGCGTCGGAGTCGACAGTGTCGGACGACATGGCATGCGGCTGTCTCCGCAGGAGGGGGGGAGGTTTGAGTCGGCGGAATGAAGACGGCAATTCAATACATTAATATTGTCGAACGACTTTCTCAGCTGTATCGCGTGGCGCACATGCGCTAAGAATCCAGGGACTCAAACGGCGCGAAGTTTGGCCCGAAGGTCGATCAGAAGAGATGGCAGTTTCGGGTTCGTCGTGGCGTCGAATCAGGGGGAGAGCATCCTCGGATACGCTCTCTCAGCCGCATTTACCAAGGCTGCCCGTGCTTTTTGCTAGCGCTTCATTAGTAAAGATATCGGCTCAATTGGAGTGTGGCATGAGGAAAGGAGATATGAAATAGAGCGTGACAACTTTGTGGAATGATTTTGTAAAGTGGAATCGAAGCGGAGCGAAACGGGGCGAAGTTGCAGCCCTTTCCCCTTATAATAACGAGCGACTGTAGTGTATGTACTGCGTACAAAGGTGCAGAGTGGTTGGTGTAATGGAATGCGTAACTGCGTAACTGCGTAATGCCCGCGACCCCCCACTACGGTCTCTCTCTCCTCTTGGCGCCCATTGGGCCATCACCATGGATACAAGGCGGTCCCTTACCTTGGTTACATGCCAGTATCGTATCAGCACCTGGGATTAAGCTTTCGGCTGGTGCCGGTCATCCGCTCCAAGCTTCTTTCCCCCATCGATGCGGTGGGTTTGTCGAGGAGCACGTAGCCAATAGCCATGCATTGACGGCGCCCATCTGTTTCGGGAGACATCGAGTCAAGCTTTAGCCTAACTATGTAGAGGGTCTGGACGGCATCCAAATCCCGAGATAAAGAACTATTCTTATATAGATAGGAAGAGCGGCACAATGTCAGACAACGCCAGCATGTGCATTGTTTCGGCATGGCTGTCCATCGTCGGAATTCCATATAACAATAACCTAGCAATACACAACCGTAGTACAACACAAGTAATACACAAGGGATCCGGGACCTGCTTCGAGGCCTCGATCGATGAGAAGAAGAGTGACAACAAAAAAAGACAAGCGGGCTCAAACAACGATCTTGTACGTCTCGCTGCCGTCCCCCTTGCACGCCGCCGTCACCAGGCGCCCCTGGTCCCCGGGTACCACGCACGTCGCCTCGTCGTTTACGGGCGACCACAGGAAGCTGTCCCCAAACACGCGCACCAGCTGCCCCGCATCCGTCTGGCCCTCGCCCGCCGCGCGCCCGCCGCACGAGAATACGGTGACGGTGTCGCCGTCCGCCCGCCGCCCGTCCGTGCTGACGCACCCGTTCATCAGACTGCTCACGACCAGTATGCCGTTGTCCTTGCCGTCGTTGTGCTTCCCCTTGGACACGATGTCCCACTGCTGATTCGCCGTGCCGTCGCACTCCGCCAGGGCGACGGGGATGAGGTTCTGGCGGAAGTCGCCCGCCGTCGGGTCCACCGAGAGGCACCGCCCGTCGGGGGCGTGGATGGCCGCCTTGGTGAAGGCCCGGGTGGCCGTCGAGTCAAACGCGTTCGCCTCGGCCGCCGCCGTCGGGTTGAGGGTCCCGCCGGCGCGGGAGACGGGCACCGGCGTCGTCGGGTTGACCGCGGGGATTTTTCCGTTTCCGTTTCCGTTTCCGTTCCCGGTGCCGTTGCCGTTGCCGGTGGCCGGTGAAGTCGTCGCAGTAGGCGACGCCACGGCCGGTGCAGACGTCGTGCCGGGCGCGATGGTGACCACGGGCACGTTCCCAGAGTTATCGGTCCCGTTATTATTACCTCCGTTGTTCCCGCCCTTGTTTCCTCCCCCGCTGCTGCCCCCGGTAGCAGGGCCGCCAAACGCAAAGGACTGCGCCTTGTCGTTGGCGTCGCAGTCGGCCACGTTGACGACGCCACCCTGGGCCGCGAAACACTTGCCCTTGGCGTTTCTTGGTTGGAATGTCGACGGGCCCGCCCCGGGGTCCAGGGCGAACAGCTGCGAGTCCGTCACCAGGCCCTCGCCTGCCGCGCGCCCGCCGCACGAGAAGAGGTTGACCTGGTCTCCGGCCTTGCGGCGCGGGTCAAAGTTGAAGCACGCTTGCGTCTGGACCGCCCTCCGGTTAGCAACCGCTACTCTGACGAAAAGGGGTGTGTGTAAGTACCAGAGTGCTCACGACGAGCATCGTGTTGGCCTGGTCGTTGTGCTTCCCGGAGGTGATGACATCCCAGCCCTGGCTGTCCTTGATGGCGCAGTCGCCGACCTGGATGGGGGTCAGGTTCGCACGGAAGTCGCCCGACAGCTTGTCGACGAAGAGGCACTTGCCGTCGGCGGTCAGGATCTGGACGTTGGAGAAGGCGCGGGTGGCCGTGTCGTCGCGCGGGTGCGCCTCCTTGGTGGCGGCCTCGTCGAGTTCCGTCACGGCCCGGCGCTGGGCGACGGGGCTCGCCGTGGCGAGGAGGGCGGCATATGCCAAGAGAGTGGCCGCCAGGGACATCATGGTGAGCCAAAGGTCGAGTGGCTGTTGTCAAACTTATAAAAGGGTGTATCTATGTGTTCGAAGGAAAGGAAGCCTGCCCAGCAGGTGCCGACGCAAGGAAGGAGCGACCGGTGATGAAGAGGAAAACCAGAGAAATGAAACGAATAAGACGGGGCGGCAGTCGATGCAAAGGCCGCAATTGACTCAGCGAGGCGGCGATATCGTGAATGGAAGCTGGAGAGGGAGAGAACCCCGGCGGTAAAGCAGTCTTATACCGGACTTATCGTGACGGGCGAGTCTGTGTCGCCCGTCGCCCATCACCCTTCGCCTGTCATCCGTCATCTGTCACCCAAGCGCCATCCTGTCTGCGTCCGAAAGACAACATGAGCTCCCGCATGCCTCAGCCCTCATCCTTCAGCCCCCCTTGGCCCCCCAAAAGCGTGCGGGTTTTGAACGAGGTTTCACGACGTCGCCAGCTGCAGCGTGTTCTCGTTTATGTCGGCCCTGGAGGGGAGGGAAGCCGAAGAGATGAGGCCGCGGGCATGTCCAATCCGATCGTCTGTTTCCCTTGGTTGTTCGTCTGTTTCCCTTGGCCTGCTCAACCGCCTGCAGCACATCGTTCGTTCGTCACCGTCCGGAACATTTTGTCCACTGGACGGGGACACGGCGCGCTAGGTATCGCCCAATTCGTGCAGTAGCGATGCGGAAAGGGGACGTCGCAGCGGTTCCTTGGCTGTGATGTCCCGGCCCATGAAACTGTTCGCGTAGCAGGGCGACAGATCCTGAAGGGATGGCACGGGGATCGTGGCGGGAAAGATAAGACGGAAACAGGGGACAAGAGGGGTAACAACCAACAGGAAATGGAGGAGGGGAAAAAAAGATACTGCGTAAGAGGCCCGCGCTTCGGGCCCTTCAATGGCGCAACGATTGGACGGCGGGCGCAGTACGCACTGCCGGACCCCGAATTGAGTTCCCTGATATGCCCGATGGGACGTGGGCGCTTGTCGGACTGTCGGGCGTTTAGGTTGCAGAGGGGAGACCCTTAATTCAAGCTTAAAGCAGTTTTCTTCCCTTGATAGGTAGATACCAGGGCCTGTTCTATCTACTATGCGAGTGCCCTTGATATCATCGCATTCATTCTCTTCTGTTTCGTTGGTTTGCTCTCCTACGTTTCACGGCGGCATCCTCCCCTTGCCCCCCTTGGCGATGCCGTCGGGATCCAGTTCCAGATGGGATTCAGAATAAACCACCAGCTCCAAAAAGGTTCGTGATACAGCTAGAGTCGTGACTTGGCCATGCGTTACACAATTCACACCTACCTCTCCACGGCAGGAGTTGGTGAAAGGCTGTTTTTAGTCATCACTTGCCTGTCAATCACTGGCTCATCCATCCCATTGCATCAATGTAGGTGTACCACTATGGCGAAACACAGACAAAGCCGGACACCATGGATCGCAATATCTGGCATCCGCCTGGCCCTCCTACCTGAAGCCGTTCAGCTCGTTGAAGCCGGCCTGCACCAGGCTCTGCCTCCCCTTACGGTCCCCGACACCGGTCCAGTAAAAGAGCCCGCCGAGGCCCATGCTCTTGGCATACTGGGCCTTGATGGCCACCGTTCCCGGCACGTCGAACGTCATGAAGCCATGCTCGGCGTCGACATACGACGCCGCCGCCGCCGTGGCGTCCACCGTCGCCCGGTCCACCATCTCGTCCGACATGTCGCAGTAATCCACCTCGGCCGCGTCCTTGGACGGCCCGCCGGGTCCCCTGGCCCGCGGGAACGTGCGCGCGTACGCGGGGATCCCGAGCAGCACCTTGCGGCTCGGGAACCCGTTTTGGATCACATAGTGGACACCGTCGGCGCACGCCGCCCGGAGGCAGGGGTTGTTGCTCGCCGGGCTCCTGGGTGGCAACAGCTGCGCGTGGTTGCCCGAGACCTCGGTCCAGGGCCCCGTCAGGTCGTAGCACATGAGGTTCAGGTAGTCGAGCAGGGCCGCCGCCCGTCTGAGGTCGATGTTCCTCAGGACGTACTGGCCCTGCGGCAGCGCCGAGGTGAGGAGGTACCAGCCCGCCGGCATGTAGCGACGGATGTCGCTCAAGAGGGCAATGTAGTCTTGGCCTTGCTTGGCGTCGCTCGGATGCTCCCAGTCAACTAGGTAGGCGGCGTGTTAAATGGGAAATGAACAGGTGACTCGGAGAGGGTGAGAAGGACAAGAAAGAAAATCGCTCACTGTCGACACCATTGATTTGGTACTTGTCGCAAAACTCCTTGATCTCGTGGGCGAAACGGGCGCGAGAGGCCGGGTTGGCGGCTAGGGCCGGAAACTCGGCACTCCCGCCGCCGCCGCCGACGGAGATGAGGGTGCGGATGTGCGGGGCCGAGGCCTTGAGGTTGGCGAGGGCTGAGAGACATCCCTTGGTGCCGTCCACGGGGATCTGGGTATCCGCCCAGTCGTCGGTGAGCTTCAGCGTCCCATCCGTGTTGACTTTGATAAAGGCGTATAAAACGTGGGTGACAGCATTCGTCGGCAGACAAGCCGGCGTCTGGTTCTTGTAGACGCGCCAGTTGGGGTAGTAGACGGCGTTGACCCAGCCTTGAGACATGACGGACTGTATGAAGAGCGCAGCAGCGATGACGAGTTGGAATATGAACAAGGACAAAGGAAAGCCCCGTCGTGGATGTGATGCTGTTGAGGTTGAGTTTGATGTTGGTGTCGGTGTTGAGGCTGCGGCGCGGGGGAGGGGCACTAATAGTGCTCAGACAATCTTCTTCTGTATTATGGGCGATCCAGCGCGTCCGGGTTCGGCGGAGTGGTGCTGACGTGGAAGGCTTAGAGGGCGGTGCTTGCCGTGAAGCCGCTGCGTGGCGCCCAGCCGGATCGCTATTGGGGAGCAATGACAGCCAAGGCAGCTAGCTGTAGCTATGATGGAGCGCTGAGCCCATGGGCTTTCCTTGGCATCTCTTCTCAGCTTCTCCTCTTCTCCCTTTTTCTCTCAACCATCGACGTTGTTGATTATCGCCTGCCACGAACGCAACAGAGACACAGCCAGCCGGCAGATGTGAGACCGCGCCCCTCGCCGAGCACGGTACTCTTCCCGCCGGCTATTGGCCGTCTCACCCAAGGAGACGCTGCAGTGCAGCTTGCTCCCTTTCGGAACGACAGAACACGCGCAGACGGGAAGCGATTCCGAATCGGAGCCATTCCGACCGCGCCCTCGGCCGGACGGTTCGTGAGACCGGGAAATGACGCACCCTCAGGGACCCGATGATGGTTGCTGCCGGCGCTCCGAGGCACGCATGCAGGCAAACCAAAGAAGCTGCTTTAGGGGCAGTGGCAGCCACCTAGATCATAGCCTCTATCGGCAGCACGCCAGACTTGATATATGGCTCCCAGTACCCCTAACCAGTCTACAGTCAACGGTCATTGCTGCGATAAAATAATGAAGGAGGCACTTCGCCCCTCTGGGTATCTGCTGACCAGCATCGAGAGACTCGGCATCGTGGCCTCGTTCTTTGGTGATCGGGTCGCCTAAGTCCATGGACTAGACAGACAGGATCAAAGACGACTAGACGGCAGTGGAAGGCCAATGGACGCACCATGACCGGATTCGCAACTGACTGACACAATGAGGCAGAGGATGCTTTCGGCCAAGTTCCACGGAGTACGACGGGTTGATGGAGGTTGAGCATAACCGACACCTATGCCGACCCAAGGACCACCGGCATCAACAGCCGCACAATTGCATACCGAGAGCAGCGGCAGCCTCGTCAAACGTGGCCGAATATCCGTTCCGGCGACTCCGAAAAACAAGTCTTAGGTCCGGCTTGCTGAATCGTTCAACCATCCTCGAGATGCGTGGGACGTCCCGCGCACTCTCGCCGGTTACGAGGTCGGAGGTCGAGCTACATTGGTCTGCTCCGAGCTGGCTTCTCCGATTAAACGCGTAAGACGGAAACGATTTGGAAACGCCTTCGATTCATTGCCCAATTGTTATAATTTTCTCGGTCCTTTTCTTTGCGGTACCCTCTTCGGCAGCATCGTGGAGGGGGGCGGGATCGACGACAGCCCGTTTCAATCCCGAGGTCGAAACAAAAGTGCATACTCGAAACAAAGTGCGCGCGGACGACAACGGCATCGTCAGCGCTCGTCGGGAGGCGGAACGGGTTCTCGGCTGCAAACATCGGGTTTAATGTTTCGCACATCGTGCAACGCCCAACGTCGAAACATTGCCGGCTTGTTTTGACAACCAGCTCAATAACGGCACGGAAGACGGCACACTTCGTCGGCGAACAGCTGAAATCGCAAGCATCGGCCGCCGCTGACTCGTGAGAGGCCGGATGCCATGTGTTTGGGCTGTCATTCGTTAGCCACAGGAGCCTTGACGTGTTCATGTTTGCTGCGGAATCTTGAAACATCGCTTTTGCCATGCTTCAGATACTGATGTAGTAGTTTTATCGTTTCATTATGTCACGCAGACGGGGATCTGACAACGGAAACGAGGAAACGAGGCTGTTTGGAGGGGAGAAGGCGAGAACTCGGCGGCGCACCGTAACAAACCGGGGGAACGTTTGGCGTCTTGCGAGGTCTCGGAACAGATCTTGAATTGGGAAGTCGGAGGAAGAGTCAGTGAGTCTGCCCAGCCGTCGACGGTGTTCCACACACCGGGCGGATGCCCGCTCCGTTCTGTATACGGCTTTCGGGACCACCAGCGCTGGCTGGGCGAGCCCTAGGTAGATCCAGTTCGGGTGGCGTACGTTCCTTCGTCGCAGAGCATCTCCAGCCCAGGAGAGAGGGGGGGAACCGGTTCAGCCCCAAGAGCAGGTTCTCTTGCGAAAGACCTCAAAGGTACGCCTGACGTGGCCGTGGATCGCGCAAACGAGAAGAGAAGAGCAGGGAATATCGCTCCAGCGTCCCGGCCACAGTCAAGCTCAATGTCTCGTTCGCCTCGCAGATGCCCGCGCTGTCTCGGAAAAGAGGCACTAGTCGCGTATGGACTTCAGCCCTTCGAGAGGTATAAGCCAACATGACTTTTTGTTTCCATGGTAGTGTGTTGGAAGCATTGCCAGGTTTGCCTGCGGCATGATCGGCCCCATAGACGCAAGTATGTCGCATGTCGGGCTTGGACTTAAGCAGCATGGATCTCTGCGACATTCATTCGTTCGTCTGCCCATTGAGGATTTGATTGACAGGAAATGAAGGAGGGGGGCGAGGAGATGAGATGCCGCGCCGGGTAGCAGGACGGGACGACGAAAACTCACAGAGACACACACACACACACACACACACCCTTGATGCCGCTGATGGTGGTTACAACACCACGATGCACAAGGTCCAACGTGGGGCTCCCGACTTGTCGGGATGGTCCCTGAGTTGAGTTTCTAGTTTCGACCGCCAAGAGCCTTGGCCACTGAAAGACGGCAAAGTCAAAAGAGCCGAGCGTTCCAAACTTGGAAATCCACGACTCGCGCAACGGTCCACTGCATACGGTCGTTGGGGGTCCGGACAGTGATATCCTATCTGGTAATACTGACCGCAGTATCACCGATTCCCAGCATCATGGCTTCTATCCTGCCGAGACCCATTTCCACCCAGATTAGCTGCAACCTCTCCCGCTCTGAATCGGGCGCATTTGCTCTCTGGTCGACGAACGTGGACGAGTTCGTCCTTTGTTCTGCCGTGATTGTGGCGCTGGCACTACGCATGTTTCAGCCTCCGACCCAACCACCTGGCCACCCGCACAGAACAGGAAGCTTCCGTACCTTTGCGGCGATGGAAAATCCCATCCTTGCGGCAAGACGAAGCGAGTAGGCAATGGGAGAGTAATCACCACAGATGCCCGACAGCATCGATAACAGATCGATAACAGCTGCCTCCCCGGGGCGGGAGGTCGAACAAGGATCTATCTCATTGTTTCTGTCAGAGCTTACCACAGCGTTTCTCGTGTATGCACATCCATAAGGCACAAAGTCCACGGTTGCGTTGCCAACTCACCATGCACCGATCGGTTCCATCATGGCAGGGAAAAGGGGCGGTCAAGAAAACAGTGTTTCCGTTCTCTCTGGGCGTCGTCACATCCGTCGTCTTTTGCTAACGAGGAAGAGCCTGGCGGCCTCAGTCTGACACGACTCTCCCCCCTCCAACTCTCTAACCCTTTGCCCCGTTGCCGTCGTGCGTGAGCACCTTACATGACACGACATGTCAAGCTTTTCTATTGTCAACCGAACGTCGACGTTTTCCCCAATACGTATGCTCAAGAGCTCGTCGCTCAATGCACACCTGGCAGATGCATCGTCATCCTGTCGAAGGGGGGCTCCGATGAATCCAGGGAAACTAATGGCTATGGCAGGGTGTCGGCACGGCAATAGGCAACATGGCACCATTCACGATAACATCATGCATCAGGAGTTCCACGACAGTCCTCGTATTCATAGAATCCTCTCCCAGTCGAGTCACCCCAGGTTCCGACCCCCGGCTTTCGGATGATCACCCACCAAGCGCCAAGGGGGGACCAGTCTCGGATTCGCAGCGAGGGGGTTGGGTTCTTGGCACACGTCCCCGGTGCATTAGTGAATCCTGACTGAAGGAGAGAAGGAGGATTCTAACCTCGAGGCGGTTGGCCGTTGCGGGTTGATTCTCTGCTTCAGCTCCGCTCCCTTCCCTTCATCTTAAGCCTCTTCCTTTCTGTTCTGGGGCCTGTCTCCCCCGCGCCTATGCTACTCGCGCTGTCTTTCAAACGTATTGTCTATTTCAGTTGGAGAAGACTCGCACTACCGGCAACACTAACATGATTTGCGTAAGAGTGAACGCACCAATTACTATAGTAAAGAGGGCCAGCACTAGGCTGCGGGACGATCCAGGGTGAGCCGCAAGCGGAGGTTGGCAGTCATCCGCGTCCGCATCCGCATCCCACCAATGCTTCAATGCCTCGGCCCAGCCTCTCCCACGCCCTTCCCCCGAGGAAATTAAGCACGGAAGAGCCTCGATGGCAATATATCTTGCGTGTCGATTGCCGGATGACCTCATCGCCAGGACAGCCGCGCCACAATGGCTGCAGCATCTGTGCTGCTGCCTCACAGTCCCTGGAGGGACCGTTGTCTGGCTCTCCACCTGCCTATGCACGAGCGAAAAAGGCGAATGAATCTCGTTGCTGCGGCGAAGGTGCTTTAGGTTTGCGTTTTGCGACCGATGGCGGTCCTGTCGAGGGGAACCCCTCGTTCCATCCTCAGAAACACGCGAATTGTTCGTCAGGGAAGCGCCCAGATTACAGGTGTTTTACCCGGTTTCTTTTTCTTTTTTTTCTTCTTTTTTTTTTCTGTTTCTTTCTTTTATATCCATTTATTCATTCATCCGTGCTCTACAGACAGGGGGGAGAGGGGGGAAAAAACGAAACAAAGTTTGAAGGAAAAGTGGCCAGGCACCCAAGCTAAGGGAAAGACAAGATCAACAACGGGCCTTTGTCTCCTCAACGGTGCGCCAGAGGCTGCGACATCTCGTTGGCGCATACTTGGCCGGTCCCCAGATTGAGGCATCTCGATACAGCGAAGAGCGACGCTTGTGGCTGACTCGAACCCCCTTGGCCGGGTTTGGCCGATTCCCATGCGGCCTTCTACTCCAGAACACACCACTTACAGTCACCGTTTACCGTTTTGCCTGGCGTCGTTCGCGCTGCCCCAGCCATCCTCCGCGAGCCGCGAGTAGCCTGCTAGTCAGCTAATCAGCGTGGTTGCCGCATTTCTGGCATTGGCTGTGTTGTGTGTGCCGGACTCGCGAGTGCCAGTATGATCGAATGGCAGATTTGCTCTGCCTTCCACATCCCGGTGGGCTGAAGTGGTCTCATCGTCTCACCCATCCAAACGTACCATGTCGTCCTGCGCGAGGAATCCTTCCAGTCAGCTGTCAGCTTAACAGCCTCCAAGCCTCTTGACGTCAAACCGCGCCTCCTCCATGGCTTTCTGCCTGTCAACCTCCTCAGTCGGCCATGCCCTTCGCCGTACCATGTACGGGGTCTACGTCTCGTATCGGAGCCTCATCAGCTGTACGATAAATCCTTGACGGCTGCCAAGACATCATGACGCCCCAGGGCTGAACGGCCAACATCCGTCGAGCGCCTCGAAGCAAGTGCTTCCCTGCGGGATGGAGGGGAAGGAGGGGGAGGGTAAGAGAGGGGAGGACGGGCCATCGTCTCCGTCTTCTTCGTCCGGTTTCTCAAACTCGTCGACGATGAGGCAGGACAGCCACCCTTCGCACCCTGCGGGTTCGTCCTCTTGGCGGGACAATGATTAAGCTCTATTCTTGGATGGGATGGGTCGGCCCAAGGTTGGTGAGGTCTTGGCAAGGACCCATCAACTCCGACCGTTCAGTGTGTTGCATGTCTTCTTTCTGTCCAGACTCTTTCTCCGTAACGTCCCAAACCCCGTCATATAAGTCTTCTGCTCCTCCCCCCCGTTTTGCCCAACCTCTCGACTTGGCTTCATCCTGCATCCCGCATCCTGCTTCTCGTTATACAAGCAAGCTTAATATCAACTCCTTTCACGTCCGAGTCCCAGTCTCTCACTGACTTTCCCGCTCACTGTCACTGTCGCTTTCAGTCTCACTTACTACCAAGACTTCCGCGCTCCATCACAGCAACCATGTATATCTCTTCTACTCTTCTTGGCGCCGGCGCCGCCGTCTTTGCCCTCGCTGGAGGTGCCAACGCAGGGTACGTCCCCTCCTCCCCTTCTTTCTCTGTCTTCCTTCGCCTTCCTGGCCCTCGGACACGGACGTGAAACTAAACAAGATCATCAGCCCGGTCGCCCGCCGTCAAAGCCCTCCCGTGGGCCAGTCCCTCTCGCAGTGCACCCAGCCTGGCCTCGTCGCGCTCACGTTCGACGACGGCCCCTTCACCTTCACGTCGCAGCTGCTCGACACCCTCAAGGCCAATAACGTCAAGGCGTCCTTCTTCCTCAACGGCATGAACTATGGCAACATCGAGACGGCTCCCTACCCGGACATCGTCAGGCGCATGAAGGATGAGGGCCATCTCGTCGGCTCCCACACGTACTCGCACGCGGACCTCAGCACGCTCTCGTCGGCCGACCGCATCGCTCAGATGACGCAGCTCGAGGACGCCATGCGGCGCATCGCCGGCTTCGCGCCGCGGTACATGCGCACGCCCTACCTGTCGTGCGACGACGCGTGCGTCACCGACCTCACCAACCTCGACTACCACATAATCGACACCAACCTCGACACCAAGGACTACGAGAACGACACGCCCGATACGACGCACATCTCGGCCGAGATGTTCATGAACGGGCTCAGCGAGGACGCCTCGTCCAACAGCTACATCGTCCTGTCGCACGACGTCCACGAGCAGACGGTCGTCTCCCTCGTGCAGAAGATGATCGACACCCTCAAGGCTAGGGGTTACCGCGCCGTCACCGTCGGGGAGTGCCTCGGCGACGCCCCCGAGAACTGGTACAAGGCCTAAGCCCGGCCGGATGGGGGGTGGGCTCTTCGTCGTTGTTGCGGTATTGTGGTGTTATTAGAGGGGACCTGGCTTGTCATTGTTACTTATTTACTTATTTATTTATGTAGAAAATGGGGTCACTTTCAGGATGCGAGGCTTTGGCTGCGAAAGTCGATTTCCGTCGACGTTTTCTATCTATGGGCTCGCGTTACGGGAGAAGATGGGGGGGGAGTGGTGGGAGGTTTTTTTTTTTTTTTTTTTTTTTTCTCTCTCTTCTTTCAGCTGTACATAAATCATTATGCGGTAACGCAGGGCATCCGCGGTTCAAAAGGCAACTTGATGGGAGGTGTCGATAATACACCACTTTTTAAAACTCAAAACCCCCTTTATGATGTATCCAAACCCGCCTAAGTCGACGCGGACGATCTCAGACAAGACCCACCCCCCCCCCCCCCTGTTCTGGACCACCGCCCACGAACCTCACCCCTACGCCGAGAGTCAACCCGCCAATCTCTCACACACTTCCTGGGTATATGTCCGCAACGGGGTGCTAGACTCCCCCGTCAATGAGTAATCACGCTCACAACCACTCATCCTTTGGTCTGGTGGCTCAATTGGTAGGGCGTCTGACTTCGATTGATTTTCACAAAATGAATATTCGGAAATTTATCAGAAGATTGCGGGTTCGAGTCCTGTCCGGATCGAGTGTCCTCTTTTTTCCCCGTCAGTATGGACGGCAATCAATTGGTTTCGTTCGCAATGGGTTTTCCAATGGTCCCTCTTGGCTCCCCCCGTAGTTTTTGGGGGGGTGGTTCTGGATGTGTCGCATCCTTCCATACACCCTATTGAATAGTGTTTTGCAGCAATGGGTTGTTTGTTTCTCTACTGCCGTCTGAGCCTCACGTCATGGCGCGCTCGGATGGTTCGTTCGTCTTGTCTGCTTGTCAACTTTTTTTTTTCTTTTTTCGCCATTAGACATTCTTGTTGTGGTGTTCCGACAGTCCGAAAGTCTTTTCTTCTTTTTTCTTCTCCATTGTCAATTGTACCGGGGCATGAGGGGGGGGTTCCTCCGACCGTTTGACTTTTCCGTCTCTTTTCCTCCGGTTTGTGCAAAGCATAACTTAAATTGACTGCTTCGTAAACCGCTCAAACTCTCTCGTAGAAGAGCTGTGTGCGTGTGTGTGTGTGTTGTCAGTTTCCTGTCCCTGGAGGCTGCACTCATCGCCCACGTGATACCCGAGTCGTTTGTCTCACTTATAGGTGCTATTTTGAACCACTGCTGGCGATGCCTTGATATGGCGAATTCATGGTGTGGAAATACGCGGCTTTGCTGTAGGTTTTTTCCCCTTTCCTTCATCGTTTTTTTTTTTCTTTTCTTTTTTTCTTTTCCCGCCCTTTTTTGCCTTCCCGCGCTGCTTGAGAATTACACACACGGTCTATTTCATTGCGAGCAAATAAGCACTACCATATGAAGGCTTAGCAGAGCCTCCCCTCCCCCCCGGCCGCGAGGAGAGGCATACCAACTTGGAGTCGTTATCGATTGAGGGTCAGCGTGGAAGATCTGCCAGGGCTCGGTTGGGGCTTTGGTGGTCAGCAAAGCAGTAGACGGGGTCGACGGCTTTGGTCTTCCGGAGATCATGCGCATCGTAGAGATTGACAGGTTTGGTTTGGTTTGGGTAGGTTCTTATGGTCCTCTTAATGCCCCCGGCTAGGACGCAGGTCGCGCTCTCGAGTTCTACTGCGATGGCTAGCGGCGATCTTTAGCCAGCTGAGGGGGGTTCTCAAGCAGCGTCCAATGCAATCGACAAGCTCCCTCTCATCTCTTGACCAAGGCGGCGAACACCCCAAGGCAGTTCGTACTGGATCCGACCGGCCTCAAATCATTCGTGAGGTCCCTGGCTCGATTCTCCTGCCGTCTCCCCCGTCCTTTCCTTCCTCTCGGGGCTTCCACACAGGTGGGTGTGCCCCGTCCTGACGCCCACGTCCCAGCTAAATAAGGACGTTTCCCAACTTCCCCAGCCAACCTTGAGCTCGAAGCTGCTGGAGAAGCCCGTCCCCGTACTCTCTGGTTCGTTTTCCGGTTTGATTACGACCTCCTAATCCCCATCGCGCGGCTTCTCTTTTTCGTCTCGGCTTGATGTCGGAGGCGCATGCCTGGCTCCTTCGGTAGCTACTTTTCCCCCTTCGATTCCAGATCAGCACCTGATTTGACATTCTCGGTATCAATGAACGCATTACCTGATGGTGCTCGACAAGTGGCTTCTTGTTGTGCCATTTGATGCGGTCAAACGGGCCGGACGTGGTCGTCGGAGTTGGCTAGAGTAACGGGTGCTCCCAACAGAAGTAGTCTGCCCTACAAACGGGAACCGAGTCGAAGATTGACGGCTTAGCACATCACGGCTTGGCCTGCCTCCACTTCCCTCGAGCTAGTTTTGTCTTGGTTGGCCGAGGACCTTCCGGGCACAGTCCGCCTTCGCCGACATCTTCGACCGGTCGAGCCCGTCGCTGTTTGCCCATAGCTCGAAGTTTCGATTCCTTTGGCTGCTTCCAGAACGCGACAACACGCCTCCGTGCCTTTCATCTCTGGCCCCGGCCACCTCTCGAGCTGTCCGGGGAAGATTTCGTGCTGCTGTCTATCGACTTGTCTGGCGGCTTTTGGCATTCGGTCTCCGTCGTGCTCTGGTCGGGGAGCTTGTTGAGGTCGATCCTCTTAAAGTCCCCAATCAAATGCGCTATTGACGACTCATCGTATACTGCGACGGGCGGCTGCTCGCAAGCGCCTGTCGTTGACTGCATGGCTTTGCTTGCGTCATGGGAGTCCTTGGCTGGGTTGAACAGCCTCGAAGAAAGGCGGGTTGCTTGTACAATCTTGGGCGACATGGCGTTCCAGGCTTGGAGTGCGCTCGGGAGGCAGGCCACAAAGATGCCCACGCAGAGCTCAATGTGGGAGAAGAGGGTGGTCAAGAAGGAATTGCCTGGGTAAACAAGTTCGGTCAGCATGTTGGCCGTCATATAGCAAGTTTACAGGGGACGCCGACCTGTGATGTTGGTAGAAGCTGCAAAATCCATGACCACCTTGATACGGTAAGCGCTGACAGCCGTGAGACTTGTGGTAGTTAGCATCGGTCAAGACTCCATAAGGTAGCCGTGCTTACAGTATCCCAACGCCAAACATAAGCATTACGCCCGCCTTTTGCTTCCGCTCCATTCTCAGGTTGTAGGTTTGCGATGCCGGCAGCATGAGCATCCATACATCAAGCGCGAGGTTAAGTGCAGCGCAGCATATGGTGAATGCATTCATGTTGATGCATTTGTCTTCCATCTTTCCTGTCCACCACCCATACCAAAAGAAATTCATGGGCCTGCACGCGCCGAGAATAGTGGCGGCGGCAGAAATCCCGAGCAGAAGGTTGAAGAGCTGTGTACCCCATAAAACCCTCCTAAACTTCTCGTCGGGAAAGATGCGTAGATAGAAAAATAGAATCGATGCCTTGATGAATGCTAAACCGTTCGTGTATAGTATACTACAAATGAACAAAGTCTTGCGCCAAATGTCAGTGATGACGGGACCCTGAAGGATATCTCGGGCATCGGCCTTACAAGAACACGGCTGGTAATCTGGTCGGGGGTAAGCGTCCAGATGTCTCTCCCAGCACCAGACCTTTCGGCTACGGGTGATGTTCGTTAGTCCCGTAATGGATAGAAATACAATCGCCAGTCACATACACAGGTAGAGCAATACGAAGAGAACTGTGAGATCAGCCTGTAATACGGTTAGAACAAAATGGTATTAGATGGTCGAGAAGCAAAGGACAGAGGAGCTATACATATGCTATCAGGATGGTCAGATCGTCCCAGCCCCAAGCCGAGAGCTTCATCAATTTGTTGGCGACCTTGAGTATGATGAAAAAAGTTTGGACGCCGAAGAGAAGCTGACGAAACCACTGCGTTATGTCGTACGCCGGAGCCGCAGGAACTCCGCAGGCGGTCTTTGACTGGTTAATGGCCACTGTAGAACGCAAAAATGAGCTTTGATCCTTTGCTCGGATGGGGTCGACTTGATTCTGGCCCTTACCCAGCATATCCTTGGTTGTGCAGCTCGCTTGCACGCATGTTTGTACATCGCCGGCCAATATCTCGTCGTGGCATATGCATGTTTGGTTCGTAATGGAACAATCGGATTGGCCTATTTCTTGAGAGAGGCATGTGATCTATTTGTGTAAGTAGATGTCATGTTAAGCCTTTCTTACTGGGGTCTGCTCACAGCACAGCTTGGGAGACCGTTAATAGACAGATCCGACGCAGTCACGACGTTGCCGAGCCCAAGGAAACAAACGAGCAGGGCGAAGAAACGGCCGGTGGCCATCCTCAACTATCAACTGATATATGGCGCGGCCCGGGAGCCTGTCGTGAACAGTTGTACCCACCTGCCGGTTGAGTTGCGTTTATGAATGCTCCGAGCTTGCGCAGGATGGGAGAAAACGTCAAAGTATGTTGGCTTTTTGAAGGAATACTGGGTGAGTACGGCGTCAATAGTGTATGCTGGGGGTATCAAATGAGAAGAATACGACAAGCACCTGTATTCAAGAGACGGAGATGCCTGACGAAAGCAGTACCGGCTGGATAGCGGACATTGCGCCTAGCTGAAGAATGGACTAGTTTAATATATTTTGAAAGTCTTTAAGACATGGAGCGTCTATCCGCCTCCTCTTGGAACAATCTTACTGCATCCGGTTGAGGTGTAGCTTGCTGCAACGACTGGCCCAGTCGGTCAGCAGGCGGTCACCGAGGTCCGAGGGTTTCTCTTTTCGCTCAATCTCTTGCAAAAATAACCGAATCTGAGACATGGCTTGATCTCTTTGGCCGGCGTAGATGATGGCTTCCTTAGGGCAATCCCCAGTCATGAACTAGTCTCTGCTTGGGCGCAGTCGCTTACTTAGAGACAGTAAAATGGCTGCGTCGACCCCTGAATGGGAGAAATCACTGCACTAATACCGTTTGCGGTCTAACACCATGGGAAAGATATGTACCTATTAGACTAGGATTGTTCGCTTTGAGGTTTATACGTAATTAACGACGGGCACTTAGAGACAAGAGAATGTCCGGTCCAGGTCTGCAATGTTCTGTTTGGACCATCCGTGCGAGTAAAAGAAGAATCCGCCAGCATTACGACTTTGTTAAGTCCACTTTTGCATCATGAACTATCATGATGCTACAATGAGCCACCCACCTTATCAGAAGCACGCCACCTTCCCGCTACATCATTGCGTCTGGCTGTTTGCGGTGTGCCATCCTGGGTGCCGCCCTCGTGAGGCGGAGTCTCGTCCGAGGGTGAGCCACGTGGGAGAACCAGAGGAGAAACAGCCAGTGAGGCGGTTGGCCACCCCACGCCACTTCAACGAAACCAGGGCTATGCGGACGATGTCCCCCCTCCCTCCAGCATCAGCGGTGCGCCACGGGCCGATACACTGTTCGTTCCCAGTATTCGGAGTTTCGTTCCGATGAAAAGGATGAAAACAAGTCCCGGATAACGGTGTGCAAGACAAGCCAATGGGAATGAGCTCACATGCCATACGCTCAATGATTCCTCATCCCTGGCTGTCCCGCTGCTCCTCTTTCCACAACCTTCCCGACCCGGTCTTCGGACCGTAATAGAGTGGGCCACTCGGCGACGGGATTTCAGGCTGACGGCCAATTGACCAGAGAGAAGAAGCCTCCTAGAAGGGAGGCATAATGGCGGCACCGATCCTGTCATTGGAACTCTTGGCAGTGTCGCTCAGCGAGAAAACACTAGACAAAAAGGAAGACAACATGAGCTGTCTGCGCAGAAATGGCCACATGAGAGACAGTTTTGGTTCGATTCCACAACAGGTATGCGTGCGTCCATGTGCACAAACACCAAAGATAAATAAACACACTGGTACGCACGCACGCACACCACACACACACACACACATGGTACAAAACGCAAAAATAGGAGTTTCCCAGGTGGATTCTAACCACTGATATCTCCCCGAGGTGGGCTCGAACCACCAACCTCCAGATTAACAGTCTGACGCGCTAGCCAATTGTGCCATCGGGGATGAGCTCGAAACGAGCTGCTTGGGACGCTGTTGATGTGGCCATAGGGATTGGATAATATGTACCATCGTTGATACAGGATGCTGGGTTGTGTGTTGTTTCAAAGCCCTAGGGTGCGGGTCTTTGAGGCCCTACCGGTTCCTCCTGCTGGGATGTATAGTGATTGGTGGCACGAGGTGCTGACACACGCGGCGAGATATGGGGACAGCACTCGGGTGCATCAAAAAAGTATCCGGCTCTGTCAAAAAGCAGAGCGAAAGATGAGTTTAATCAACTCTGATTTGAGCCTGGTCTTCAATAACAGACAAGTTACGGCGGGTCCCAGTAGGAATAGAGGGGCAGTAGCCGCATTCTACCAACATTCTTCCAAAAGGGTAAACTCATACAAGCCTACAAGCCTACAAGCCACTAAGCCAAGGTAGCTTCGTTCAATTTAAGCCCTGCCGGTCTGACCGGGTCAGGAGTAAACTTGTCAGTGCCGCCATATGCAACAGAGGCAAATCACTGAGATAGACTGCGGATATCTTCTTTCCCCTTTTCAAAGTTTGACAAGAACCTGTCGAGAAACATGGTAATTACTGGACTAACGGTAGCTCGATCAACGTTGGCAAACACGCCGTCATCTCATGCCACGGAGCAACACCCCCGGCAGCAACCGCAGCAGCAGACCCAACCAACCAAGCCCATCGGTACCTGTCAAGGCAAACCCTGCCCACGATGGAGTCACTCGGAGCCCACCACTACCATTATCTCTCTGGCCCTCACTGGCGATGCGGCCCTTCCCTGTGATAGGGCTTAGGGCAACGGCATCACCCCAGTGCACGCAAGCAAGCAGCCTGGTCGGTTAGCTCAGTTGGTTAGAGCGTGGTACTAATATATCATCAGATACATTTAGTGATGCCAAGGCCGTGAGTTCAAGCCTCACACTGATCATTAACTTTTGCTTGTAGTGGCGCTGGGTCATATATATCTAATTACTTGTTGGTATGGGCTCTGGTTCCTCTCACGCTGAGCGTCTTTCTTTTCTTTCTTCGCTTTTTTGCGATGCAGGCTGGCTAGGATTGGGGTAAACTCTCTAGGACCTAGAACTAGTTGGCTTCGAAGCAAGTTCCGAAGTAAGTAGTTGCATGCTATCGGTACTGTAATTTGCTCGCGCTTTGCTCGTCATTGGGTCCTTAACTCAAGGTTCACTTCATCGGACAGAGACGATGCTGAAGGACTAACCGACGAGGGGGGCCAATAAGACAATCAACGATGGTTATGAAGGAAGCCCTGCCCCACCGGTGCTCGCGAGCTAGTTTGGGAGAGCATGACCCGGCTGATGGCAGGAGAGGAATTGGCCGGAAGATGTGGGCTCAGCTTAGGCTATTGGAGGATCTCTGAAGAGGACATGAAGGACATAACGGCGCGGAGGATATGGGACATGTAGTTGTTGAAATGCTCTTGTTGTAGAACCGTCTTCTTGTCTTACACCTTACCCCCCCTCCGATGCCTCATGGATGGCGAGCTCCCCAGCCACGGACGACACAAAAGAGAGAAAGAGAAGAGAAACGAAACACGGCACACGCATAACTCGAGCCCAAAACGCCGTGTCATGAAGTTTCAATGTTTCATTTGCCTGCCTGACCCTTTTTACAAACCAAGCCAAGCAGCGATACCGCGAGGCATGCCATGCAATTGCATCGACGGAGGCGCGACGGCGGGGAGAACCAGCGCGATGCTAGGGTTCCCACGCGCGACCCTCACCCCCATATGTCGAGCCCTGGCCGCAGTCCCGGTCCGTTTTTCCCTAGAGACGCGAGACCAACGAGCCAGATCTTTTGATCCACGTTTGACTCCCTCGTAAAACAGTAACTGCCAAATATTCTTCGCGGGAAACACCAAATGCTGGACCCGGAAACCCACAGCGCTTCCCCCAAAGGTGTTGTGCTGCATATCCCTTTTCCCCCACCACCGCTCGGGCAAGAAAAAGAAACCATCCGACCCGTACCGTTTAACGGTAGGACTTCTGGAATCTGGAGCGGGCACCCTTACCACCGAACTTCTTGGGCTCGCACCGGCGGTTGTCGGCGACGAGGAGGGTGCGGTCGAACTGAACGAGGGCCTGCTTGAGCATGTTCTTCGAGTGCTCGTCGACGAACTTCTGGTAGTAAGCGACAACCGACTTGGCGATGGCCTGACGGATGGCGTAAATCTGGGAGGTGTGACCACCACCGGTAACGCGGACGCGGATGTCGATGTTGGCGAACTTGTCAAGGCCGAGGACGAGGAGGGGCTCGTAGACCTGTGTTCCATAGCGTTAGCCTTCGTCGAGCTCTTATTGAATGTGCCTTTTCCGCCCCCGTCTCTGCGCAGGGGGCCCCGATCGCTATTGGACTTCTCGAATCGATTCGTGGGTGTAGATGGTGAAGAGCAAAAGCGATGCGCGCATTATTCTCATCTGTAGCTAAAGCCAAACGTCACAGCGCTTGCTCTTCATCCATCCAAACTCCCAATCCATCCAGTTGCTTTCTTCTTGCCGACCGGTTTTCGTCAATGGGTTCGTGCAGGATTTAATCGTACCTTGAAGCGGAGGATCTCAGGCTGGACAAGCGAGAGAGGCTTGCCGTTGACCTTGACGAGGCCCTTGCCAGCCTATTGCGCGGGGGGGGAAAAGTCAGCCTTTCCAATTCTGATATCTCAATGTTCATCTTTCCCCTCTTTCCGTCAATCCGCTTCTGGTATTCGTCTTCTTGCTCTCGGAGGGGACATCGGGTTTTGATCGTACCTTGCACTGGGCAACGGCGGTGGCGGTTCTCTTCTTGCCGAAGCACTGCACGCTCTGGGTGGACGACATGTTGCTGCGTGGATGGAGGGACTCTGTGAGGAAGTTCGCAGCGCGATCGTGAGGCAGGGCGTGTAATTTGCTTTGGTCAGGCTCGAGTAATTTTTTGCGTTTGGATTTGAGAGAGGGTTTGGTGCCCTTCTTGCCGGGGCTATGCCCGATTAGTGGTCAAGATTCTCCGAGTGGGTCGTGTGGCCTGCGTGCACGTGACGCTAGAGCTTCGCTGATCTGGGCCTGACTTTAGTAGTCCTCAGAACGCTAGACGATCGAAGATGCTTATGTCATCTTTCGAGGTTGGCGGACGGCCCAACCAGTTCACAAATGACATCGGCGCCCACGACCCCCCGATGTAGCATCCACCGCACCCCTCCATTCGCAACCTCCACCCGCCTCCGCATGTGAAGCACCACGCTCGAAGCTCCCCATTTCCCCCCTACTCTACCTAAACTCCCATCCCGACTCCGACCATAGGACACGCGGCCATGTCTCGTAAAGGCGTCGGCCTTGCGGCTTTCGATCGCTCCCGTCTCACCTCGGCGCAGTATGCCTCCCACGGCTCCAATCTGCGCAACACCAATGCGCAAGCCCTCGAGACCCAGCTCTCCGTCTTCCGCTCCCTCCTCCAGCAGTTCGCGCAGACACACGCAAAGGACATCCGTTCGAACCCCTCTTTCCGCGCCCAGTTCGCCCGCATGTGCTCCGCCATCGGCGTCGACCCGCTCGCGTCCTCGTCCTCGTCCTCGGGCGGCGGCTCGTCCTCGATCTGGGCGCAGCTGCTGGGCCGGTCGGTCAACGATTTCTACTTTGAGCTGGCGGTGCGAGTGGTCGAGGTGTGCAGCGCGACGCGCGACGAGAACGGCGGGCTGATCGGGGTCCGCGAGGTGAGGGAACGGATCATGAAGGGGCGCATGGAGGGTGCGAGCGAGGTGACGGAGGACGATGTGCTGAGGGCTGTCGGTACGCTGAAGCCGCTGGGCAGCTCACACAGCGTGATCAAGGTTGGCAGCAAGTCGTATATCCGAAGCGTGCCCAAGGAGCTCAATACGGATCAGAGTGCCGTGCTGGAGGCTGTGCAGGTATTGGGATACGTGAGCATCTCAATGTTGATGATTAACTTGCGGTGGCCAAGGGCGCGAGCCCAGACTGCATTGGAGGATCTTCTCAGTGAGGGCATGTTGTGGGTGGATAAGCAATGTCCAGAATCGGAGTACTGGAGTCCTGGGTTCATGGTGGACACTGGTGAGACGCCAGCTGGAGAATGAAACAGGGAGTGAGTCCAAAACGCAAATTCAACCCAAGCACTCGACCTGCCGTTTTGGCTGCTGCCGCCGCTGCTTCATCGGCGGACATCGGCCACGTCGATTCGATCTGCAACCGACAGCCAGCAACGCAACACCAAAGGTCTGCCCGTCTGAGGCAAAGCGTGAAGGCTAAATCCCACAGAGGACCAGGCCGCCAATGTGCCAGCGGGAGCCATCCATGCGAGACACGATGAAGAGGCTCGCACAATGACGCGTTGATAACCCCTGATATGACTTGGAATAATCGTAACTGCACTATATGCCGTAGATATGGATTAGAGCATTAGAGACCACTTGATGAAAAAAGCAAGTAGACAATACCAGACATTTCGAACCTAAATCGAAGCGCATTCGAACCTATTTACCGACACAGGACATATAACATGACAGCAGCGTTTGAAGCAAGCAAAAGTTACAAGGACGCTGGGCGATCGGCTGCAACCTTTCCAAGCTCGCTTGCTCCCCCAGCTCACATATCTTCACACTGCCCCCCCCCCCCCCTCCACGCCTCTCAACTCCAGAAAGCCGCCCCAAAGGGCTGGGCTTATTTTCGCATTAGATGTTTACCGGGTTTCTCATCAAGTGGGCGTTATATCGACATCATCTTAACCATCTCACCATAGCAGAGTCATTTAGTAAGCGGGGTTGGGACCTCCAATCGGACCTCCCATCGGGCCAGGGTAGTCCTTGGGGCCCGGGTAGTCCTCAGGGCGGCCTCCCATGGAGGGAGAACGGCCGTCACCGAAGTGCTTCTTTCGCAGAGCCGCAAGGCGCTTCTTCTTGGTGATGGTGTTGATGTAGGTGCCGATGACGAAGGCAACCAGGTTGAAGAACGGAACCCAGAGTTGATCAGGGAGAAACTTCTGGGCAAAGGCCAGGCAGAGCGGAGATGTGATCCAGCTGACCTTCATGACCTTCCAGAATCCAACCCTGACAGTCGCACGGACCTGGTGGTACGTCTTAGCACCAGCAATGAGAGCCATCGCGGTAAGGTAGACGGAATTTTGGATGGGCGCAATCTTCAGAACGCGGGTTAGCACGCGTACAGCAGGTTTTGATGAGCGACAGGACAACATACAATCAAGTTGCTGACAATAATCTGCAAGATCTTGGCGCGCAGGCTGGTGCGGCCGGCAAAGGTCTTCTGAAGGGCCCAGATGAGGAAGTGGCCGAGAGGGGCACTGACGAGGGCGCCGTAAGCAGCCATCTTGGGCACGCGCGAGGTGAAGTAGTCGCCATGCTTGTTGCGGTCCTTGGCGAGGAAGGATGCGATCAGTTCCTGAGCGCCAGCGAGAGTGCCCGATGTGAGCATCTTGGTGCGCAGAGGGTTCTTCTCAAGCTCCCTGATGTAGGCCTGTAATAAAAAGCACGTCAGCGTCTCAGAATGAGACTCCACGGGGCTCCACGATGCTGCTCCTCTCGCGCGCAATTCGCGGCGGGCAGCATCGGAGGGGTTGGCAGACAAACCGCAAGATAGCCCTTGGTTCCGGCATTCTTCTTGCCGCCGGTGACGGCGGTGCCGATGGCCTCGGAGATGGGGTGCTTGCCGCTGGTGCCGGGCAGAGGCTCTCCGATGAGGCCCTTCTTGACCTCCTCCACACCCTTCTTTATCGTCTCCTTCTCGAACTTGACCGACATTGTGGGCTAAGACTCCGGGGGTATCGCTAACGTAATCGAGAAATCGCGGTGGGAACTGCGGTGAAAGAGAGGAGTATCAGCATTCGAGGCCCGTCTTTGAGGGTGTTTGCGATGGGTTTTCGGGGGGGCGTTCGTCAATTGATTGCGGCTCCAGCGTACAAGCCCGGGGGGGCAGCCAATAATTTGTTTACCGCGTCGCTCTGCCGACCGACCGGGGATGATCGGTGAATTGAGCGGCTAGAGCTTCGGTCACTGGAAACTTCAATTGCACTGACTGGCTGACCCGGGGGGCAAGATAGAAATTTGAGGCAACGTACTGAAATGTTATTGTTCGAGATTTGCAAAAGAAAAGAACAAAAAGTGAGCGTCTAGGCCGTCGTCAGAAGTGAGGGAGGTTGGGCGGCAGCAGCACAATGGAGAGAGAGAGAGAGAGGGAGCGACGGAAGGGTTGTTGATGTGGCTGTGGTTGAGGAGGTCGACACAATTGGGCTGGCTGGGGGTGTGTACGGGGCCTGGTACGACGCATATTGGGGGGAGGGGGCTCTAGGTACGCAAGAACGGGAGACCACCTCGGCTGGGCTGGGCTCAGCTGGGCTGGCTGGGGAAGAAATTGACAGAATTGATGTGGGGTGGTGCCAAACTGGGCAATCTGGGACTTGGAGCTCTGGTGTGAGATGCTCATTCGTCTGGCAACGCAAGAAATGACGGGGGGGTGTTGCACGACGGGGCAAAAGCTGGTCAGAGCTGCAGGGGTGTAATCAAAGAGGAATTTGGATTGGTTCATTCTCTACCAGTGGTCCAAGCTTTGTTTTCACTTGGTGAGCGGGGCAATCCAAGAATTCATTAGCGGCATCGAACTTGTGCGCTCACCAGCTCGTTTTGACAGCAGCCCAACGACTGGTAAAGACTGAGAAATGGGAAATGTTAGTTTCGCGATTTCGCATTTGGGCTAGCCTAGATGTGCCGGGTTGACCCATCGACGTGGTCCCTCCTCAAATGTTAGTTTAATGATCGGCCCTCATGCTCTGCTTCCCCGAATCGTCCGAATGCCGTCCGAACCACGCCATCTTGCATGCATATCGATGCCTCTCACCGCAGCTCAAAACATGCGGTGAGCTGGCTGCTCCACGCGCAAACTCCTCGCCTGTCACGGGCCGTGATTGGTATACTCCTCTCATTATAGAGGAATGAAGACTGTGGCCTGCTTTCGTATCAGTCGACCTCGGTACGCGGAATGGTGCCCGTCGATACTGATATTAGTCCAAGTCGGAGAGCACATCTCTTTCTTTCGCATAACTTTGTCCGCCAAACTGCAGAAAAAGCCAAGGTTTCTGATACTTTCGATTATCGAGAGCCGATGTAGTCTAGCTTTTTGCCATGGTCAAAGCAACATCAGATAAAGAGCCTCGGCATCAGATGATGATGTTGCGCCAGTATCTTGCCCAGCATCATCGACGCCGCAGGGTTTCTCCGACAACACCATAAGTGATATTACATTTCAATCTGATGGTCCAGGTACGTTGTGGTCTGTGGTGGCTGAAGTTGACGTGTCGGGGAAACAGGATCGTATCAAAAAGGCAAGTTCTGAATTAGACCAAAATACACCTACGTAACCCATGTCGCAATTTCAGTTTCAATTCAGCATGAGCCGAAACTCCCAGCGCTGTGGTCTATCCTCCTACTGGTCCAACTAACTCAGATTACCTGTTGCTAAAGCAAGGTGCTCCTTCCCGGCCTGTCCAGTCCAACCGCGCCTTCCTCCTCGGTTCATTCAAGACCTTCTTCACCTGACCACAAGACTAGGTAGGTACCCCAAGAGTCACCACTACGCGAGACTAACAATTCACATCGTTCCAAGTAAACACCGATCCTAGAAACATTCTCACCCACCTATCCTTGTCTTGAATTGGCCATCTCCTCGAGGTCGTGTCTGGGGTATCAGGGTACCAATATGGCCGCCCAGCCCGCCCCTCACCCGGCGCGTACCTTCGCAGCTTGTACACACGTCACAATGGTCCGCGTGTACAGCTATATCCTTCGATGCGACTCTTGTGGCAATTACGGCCCCTTTGGCTGGTTATATCGCTGCTCCCAGGATCAGGAGGAGATCCTGCGCGATTCCATTCTCAGCGGAGACGAGGTGAGGTGGAAACCATCCAAGGCCAGAGACAACGCTGATAGAGTTAAGGTCACATTCGATGAATTGGGCAGGAAGCTTATCGCAGCCATACAACCGAGGAATCGCGGTCCTGAAAAACGGTCTGGAAATGCCGCCTGCTTCCTCGAGGAGATGCCCCCGAGGGACATCACAGCCACCTACACCAGTGACCAGCTTCTGACTATCTTTAACCAACGCAAACATGTATGTATATGTTTGATTTAAATGCGCTTACACATCAATTAATGTCTCGATTTTAGCTTGGAGACATTCTCCGTCGAGAGTCGTTCCGAAAGAACCCGGCATCTACGGAAGGGCACGAGGGTGCTCGCCAGTGCAGCACTTACGATTTAGACGATATCCTGGGCCGCAGCGTATCGACCCCCTGGGTTCCCAATGCCAAAGATGAGTGCAAATACAAGATATGCCCTTATTGCCGGCCTGGTGGAGCGGACCGAGCATATATCAGTCTTGACGGTGTCGCAGAGGGCAGCATTCCTGCTACAGCAGCTACCGGATATGGATTCCATCTCTTCCGCCAGAGACCCATCTGCAGCTCCAGTCTGGTCGCCAATCTAGGTTTACGACTGGCTTGCGCGGTGAGAACCTCCATCGTAAGCATATGCAACATGTCTGACACTATTACAGCCAGTGAGGGCTTCTGAGCCTGCCTTCTCCCGTACATCGTCGGCCGCGAGTAATGACATAACTAACGACGCACGGCTGGCGAGCCAGCTAGCTTCGCAGCTCGGTCCTATGGACATGGCTAATGGCACGAGGATCATGTCACCTCACCCTCTCCCACACGCCCAGTTGCCCCGGTCACCAGGCTCCCCAAACCTTGCTGTCCAGGCCACAGGCCGCCAGGAGACTGGCGAGGTAGACTCGTCCTGGCAGGATACTACAGCCTCCACTATAGCCCAGCCGGCTGCCACGAGTGCCCAGCAGCTTGGTAGGGATGCCACTGCGATGGAAGAGCACGAGAAGGAAGAGGGTAAGTTTCTCGCAAACCCTCTAGAGGTTGCGCATGGAGTGGCCGTCTCGGAAGAAAGCGTGGAGCGGCATGCTCCGGACCTTGTGACCCAGGTCTGACGACAGAGACGGAAGAATCATTGTGTTGATCCCCTGCATTTGGTGATCGAGGCGTTGGATTGTACGAGATACCCCTGTTTTTAGGTGTTAATGGTATTCTTTCACAAACGATATGCCCTTAGAAAGATGGGACACAAGCTCTGCATGGCTCGGCCATCATATACATCTTGCAACTGCCTATACAGTTTGCGGGGTCATTTGCAACCGCGGAACCAGCCAAAGAATGCTACAAATGTTTCACGGGCTAAAAACAAAAACAAAAGAGAGCTAAGCAGACGACTTAACCAGAGCGGAACTCTTGGCCCGGGTAAGTTCAACTGCGGCACGGCCTCACGGACAGATAGCACGGCTTCGTCGACAGCGTCCAGCAGAGCGGCCATGGCTTGTTTTCTCGTTCATTTCTAGACTCTGTCTAAGGAAACCCTTGTAATTGCTCACAATCGCATCACTCTCACGTGCATCCATCCGTCCCAAGACGTAACGTCCACCCCGTAAACCGTAAATGCCCGCATCTCCTTCCAGCGCACACACACCCCATTTCCTCCCTCTCAGTCCTTCGTGCTCTCCAGCACGGCCTTCATCATGGCGTTGCCCACGGCGACGGCGTCCTTGAAGCGCGGCTGGAAGAACTCCTGCGTGGTGACAAACCGGTTCTTCCACGTCTCAAAGTGACCGAGCGAGACGCACTCGGCCCACCCCCGCGCCGCGAAGGTGAACTCGAGGTCGTCGGAGCGGTAGGTGTGGTCCTCGACGGCCGTCCGCAGCGCGTCGTCGAGCAGCTCGCGGCTGCGGAACAGGTGCTCGGCGACGCCGAGCCACAGCCGGAACAGCGGCGTGGAGCAGATCATGTGGTCGTAGGGGACGATGCCCAGTTGCGCCCAGCAGTCCACCATGGCCAGCAGGCTGAGGTGGTTGTTGGCGCGCGGCGGGCCCGTCTGGTCCTCCTTGCGGCCGAGGGAGAAGCGCTCGAGCAGGTCCGGGTTGAGGAGCGGCCGGTCCGCCCACTTGGGGCTGCCGTCGCGGCCGAACACCTTGTTCTTGGCTGCGAGCACGCGGGCGCGAAGGGCGTCGGCGTTGCCCTCGAGCATGAGCTTGTAGAGGTCCGTGACGGAGCGGGCGAACTGGGAGATCTGCTTGCGGGCCTCGGGGTTGAGGATGGCAAGGCCGGCGTAGACGTGCCACTTCTGGGAGTAGATGCGCAGCATGATGTTGATCTTTACGTTCTCGACGCCGCCGACGTAGCGGGACATCTCCCAGGGGAACTGCGTGTTGGCGTGCCACGCCTTGCCCATGGAGAGGAACGCGGCGTGCGTGACGGCCTGGGTGTCAGCGGTGATGCGGTCGTGCTCGAGCGCCGTGAGGTGGACGTGCTTGGACCCGAGCACGGAGAGGACGGTCTCGACCTTTGCGGCTGACGCGGGGGAGGAGCGATGGGGGATGATGACGAGGGGCTGGTTCCGCGGGTCGACGTTGGGGCCGTGGAGGGAGTGGCAAGAGACGATCTCGACGTCGGTCGGGAGGTGGCGCTCGAAGGCGGCGATTTCGGGTGCCTTGCAAGATGTTTGGCCTCCGACGATGGCGCCGAGTTTGGTTGCTAAGTCGTGGGAGAACCGTGTCAGATAGGTCAACCACTTTCTTGTACAGACGAGCATAGAGGAAAACTCATACATGGGCCGTATTGGGAAATCACGCGGTCAATGGCGGCGGCTTCAACGCTGTAGATGATGTAGTCGCTAGCGCGGGAGACGTAGTGGCCATTGCGGCAGATTTGTATTTTGTTCTATTCAAGAGAAGACTGCTCAGCCGGGTTTTCACACCGAGGGAGGCAGGGCAAGCTGTGTGGCATTGTCCCGTACATTTCCAGAGAACTCTTCTTTCAGGCTCTCGTACTTTTCCTCCTGGTCACACGCCATGATCCTGCCAGAAGCCCAAGGCGTCAGCGTCTCTATCACCTTCAACCCTCTACTGTACAACATATTGGTATAGCAAGGATAGGCATGAAGCTATTGCAGATTCCTGGGAAGCATGTTAGCCTCGCAACTTTCAAGACCAAGGGTCGTAAGAAAGAGTGTGTGATTGTGTAGGTTCAG